ACTGATCCCACTGAAAACTAACTTTCTTGTAAAATCGATTTTTGGCTGAACCACAGGTGAACTAACTGATGGCACAGTTACACAGCTGGACCAACACAAGAAAGCGATGGGAGCTCAGACAGGTGAAAGAGCTCCCTTTGGGAGGCAGGACAGCTGAAAATCATTAGATTTTTCTAAGCATGAAATTGCACTTTTACTATTCCCTTTTACTGCTCATCTGACTTTTAAGCAAAGGCTTCTAGTCCCAGCTTATCAGCATTTTTAAACAAGGACTACATACAACTGTGGTACATAAAGCCAGCAGAAGCAGGTGCCAATTGTTCCCTCTCACATGGAAAGTTCTCTACAGTTTTTGACTAAACAAGTATCTAACACTTACTCAAAACAGTTTAAATATATGAAACAATATAAATAGCTTCTAGAATATTCCAATTAACTGGTAAATAAAAATGTACTAGACAGTAATTTTTGCAGTGTTTCTCAAATACACCTTTTTCTCTTGTGTTGCTCTATGTTTAAATGTTAAGGATCCAAGAAAGCAGTGATGGTTTTGTGCTTTAGGGCATACATACTACATGCTTCTTTTAGGTTGGACAGAAAACATTTCTCAGGTTTGATTGGACAACTATAATATTTCATACATCATGTTGCCAGCAGGCTTAGCAGCTTGAGCAGAAAAAACAATAGACAGTCCTTTTCCATATCTTCAGGACTTCAGCAATGAAACAGGAATCTCCACAGCTATGAGGATTACAGTTCTTTGGTCAGACACTTACTAGTAAAGCAAAGATCTGCATGCTGAAACCAAAACAATTCAAGCATTAGAATCTGTACACAACAAGCATTTTGGATTTCTTTGCAAGGCACTGCTGTCCTACAGCATAATCTGCTCCTCAGGGCTCTGTAGTGGGCCCAGTCCCGTTTAATAACTTTATCAACAATCTGGACAAGGGGATTGAGTGTACCCTCAGTTACTTTGCAGAAGACACTGAGTTGGGTGGGAGTGTTGATCATCTGGAGGGCAGGAAGGCTCTGCAGCTCTGGACAGGCTGAACTGATGGGCCAAAGTGAACCTTATGAGGTTTAACAAGGCCAATGCCAGGTCCTGCCCTTGGGTCACAACAATCCCATGCAGTGCTACAGGTTTGGGGAGGCATGGCCAGAAAAATGCCCATTGGAAAAGGATCTGGGGGAGCTGGTTGACAGCAGCTGAACTTGAGCCAGCATCTGCCTGGGTGGCCAACAGGTCACTGGCATAGTGTGGCCAACAGGACCAGGCAGTGATTGTTCCCCTTGACTCAGCAGTGGTGAGGCCACACCTTGAACCCTGTGCTCAGTTCTGAGCCCCTCACTAGAGAGAAAGGCAGGGGGGTGCTGGAGCATGTCCAGAGAAGGGCAAGAGAGCTGGTGAAGGGTCTGGAGCACAAGTCTTGTGAGGAGCAGCTGAGAGAGCTGGGATTGTTCAGCCTGGAGAAAAGAAGGCTCAGCAAGGCCCTTATCACTCTCTATAAATATCTGAAAGGAAGTTTTAGCCAGGTAGGTGTCAGCCTTTTCCCCAAGTAACAAGTGATAGGACAAGAGGAAACGTCCCCAGGTTGCACCAAGGGAGGTTTAGATTGGATATTAATAGAAATTTCTTCACCAAAAAGGTTGTCAAGCTTTGGAAGAGCCCTGCCAGGGAAGTTGTTAAGTCACCATTCCTGAAGGCATTTAAAAGGCATGTAGATGTGGCACTTAAGGACAGTTTAGTGGTGGACTTGGCAGTGCTGGCTTTACAGTTAGGTTCAATGACCTTAAAGGTCCTTCCCAACCTAAATGACCCTAGTTCGGGATCCGTGTAAGACAAATACTCTAAACTTCACCTTTTCGTTCTCATGAGTTTTCTCATTCTCCTTTCACTAGAGATAAACCACTAACTTTAAAAGTAATCAGCAAAGAGTTAAACACGTTCCTGTAGTCTCTGTAACAAAATCTCCCCTCAAAATGCTTCCTCAAACTCCATAACATTTTTTATAATTGACCAAACATTATTTTAGTAGCTGGCTCACCTACTAAATTAAGCTGTTATGACAACTAACTTTATTCAAAGCTCTGGGACCCAGCACACAAGGTGATCACCATTCATATCTCCTCCCTAAATGAATGCATGGGACTTTTTCTCTCCAATACATATGTAATATTCCCCCTGGGATTTCCATCCTTATTAATTCAGCTTTGGGAAGGAAACTGAATGTTAATCTACTGGACAGGGGATTTACAATAAGATCTCCCTGTGTGACTTCAGAAGCAGGCTCTACACTGTGGCAGAGTTTAGGCAGTGTTTTCTTGTGACTGGAATGTAGATGTAGTAGATTACCACCTGTGCCAAGTTACAAATTGAGTCAACAGAGCAGTTGTTTGAAACTGAAAACAGAATTTGAAGATTCAAACCACATTAAAAAATACCCAACCAAACCAAGCATTCATATATTAGAGCAGGAATGAAAGACATGGAACTGAGTCTTTTTTTGACAGGTCTTTTTCTCCAGATGCTTCAGCAGTAATTCTATATGCTCAACTAAAGCATATTTTACATGTAAAATTATCTTGTGCGCAGAATATGAAAATAGACATTAATATGAACAAAACAGATAACTGCAGTGCTCAGTGCTCTTTACATGCAGATACTCTTTTCCTTCATATTGCAAGTCTATTTCTGCTAAATGGACTGTGAAAATCAATTGTAAACTCCATTTGCTAAATAACTTGTAAGGCCTGACTTGGCTAAGGGAATCTGGACTCAAATGATTTGTGCAAACCTACCAGCAAGAACTCCATGGAAATTCTTAACTTCTGCCATGTGGTCACCGGCAGGCAGCTTTGAAAGACCAAAGTAATTTTGACATCTGCATTTTTGAACTAGCACCTATGCATTAAAAAAAAAAAAAAAATTAGTCGATAGGCAAATGGTTTTCCCTAAATAAATTACTAAAAATAGTTCAAGTATGCTTAGCAATTTTGCTGCTGAAGACATGGTCTTTTGAATAAATCAACACATTCTGATTACAGTCTTTTTTCAGGAATCAATGTGCTTGGTGATCTGACTGCTAACTCTCTCATAAAGCTATGATAATGCTAAAATCAGATGCACCCTCTTACTATTTTCTGTATTGTTTATCAGTTGGGTGGCAAAATAGCCAGGAACCAGAAAAAGCCACTGGATCAAACACAGTAATTTCAGCAGAACAAGTGTTTTGCTCAAACAGATAAGTCTTGCATTCACCTCTAGCTTTAGCAGGATTCCTGGTCCAGTGTGTTCCTTTAAATGTCAAACAGAGGTACCCGTAAGGCATCAAGTCACTTTGGCACACATAATTTCTCATTTGGGAAACTGGGTTAAGCAACCTGGGCAGCATTAGCTGCCTCTGCACTGGGGTGCTGACAGCACTGTGCCTTTACTAATGCAGCTACAATGGCTCTGTTGTACATAAGGAAACAGGTGCTCAAATAAATTCCTTACAAGGCCTTAGCACACTGGCATGGCAGCCTGGGCAAACTCTCTTAAACGTCCCATGAGGAAAGTCTTGTGAGGAGCACAAAGGTTGTGTTCCTGACTGATACAGCAGGACCACAGGAATAAAGAAAAGACTGAGAAGGTTTGCTGAATGCTCCATGAAGAAGGTGTCAGGATTAACTTCCAAAGGTTGTGCTCCTGACTGATACATGAGACCCACAGGAATGGAGAACAGACTGAAAAGGCTGCTGGGATAACCTCTTTGTGGTGTGCTGGCTCTGTCCTCGGAGGTCAGACGTGCTCCCTGGTTTCCACAACCATCCCTGCTTCCTGCACACTGATGCTATAGCCTTGTCCCACTCTGCTCGAAAGGTACATCTAGAACTTCTGCTCTTTCATTTCCAGATTAATTTCTAAGATTTCTTTTTTAACCAGGTAAAATTTTTCTAAACCAGACCTTTCAGTTAGCGCCGAATTCGACTTCTAAATACTAGTCTACTAGTACTCCTGAGTGCAAAAGGTGGTCCTGTTATGTTTTTGCCGCTTACCAGTTAGGCAGGGTCCACCTGAGCTTTTTATTACTTTTTTCAGTGCTCTATGCTCCTGGTGCACGTGCAGTGGGAAGAACAGCGCGGGATGACAGCGCTTTGGTTAGAGGATGCAGGCGATAGAGGAAGGGCACCCCGCGAACCCGCAGGTGTAAGCGGGCAGGGCTACAGGACCAGGCGGGGAGGGGCTGAGGAACTGCCCCGGGGAGCCCGCACACCTCCCACGCCCCAAAGCGCTTCTCCCGTCCTTTCTCCCTGGGTGCCGGGGGCTGCTCTCCCCTCGCTCCCCGTGAGCCGGAGCCCCGGGCGGTTCTCGTCAGGGAAGGCGACGGCCGTGGAAGGAGGGCAGCTCCTCTCCCAGGGAGATCTCCCAGCCCCGGCGAAGCCCCTCCTTTAGGAGCAGGTGGCGCAGCCCGGGAGAGCCTTCCTCCTCCTCCGTCTCCTCCTCCACCTCCCAGCGCTGGTGGCCCGGAAGGGAAGTCCTGCCCCTCCTCCTCATCCAGCTCCCAGGTGGCAGCGGCCATCTCCGTGTGTCCCTCTTCACTGCCTCCCGCGGCTCCGCTCCACCTGTAGCGCGGCCGCGGGGCGGGCAGAAGGCGCCTGCCCCCCGCCCTCCCGCTTCCCTCCGCCCGCCCTGCCTCCCGGGACACGGCCGCCGCTTCCTCCCGCTCCGGCTGCGGCCCTGACGTCGCTTCCTTCCAACATGGCGAGGGCAGGTTGTTGCTGCGGCCGCCGCCGCCGGTGCTGATGGAGGCAGGCGCGGGCCGGGGGCGGCTCGGGGACTGACGGGCGCCGTCCGCGCACACACGCATCGGGGGCGGGAGGAGAAGGGAGGAGAAGGCTTCGTCTTCCCTCAGCCGCGGGGGTTGGCTGTCGGCGCCGCCCGGGCCCACCCCAGCCTCCCCCGGGGGAGCCGTCGAGCGGGTGTCGGGACGCCCTGCGAGGGAGCCCTTCCCCCGCGGCCGCCGCGGCCCCTGGCAGCGCTCCCGGTGGGAGAGGCCGGTGCCCCGCTCTCACTTCCCCGCTCCACCTTCCTCCTCCTCCTCTCACGGCTCGATCGCGCCCATGTATGAAGGGAAGAAGACGAAAAACATGTTTCTGACCCGGGCCCTGGAGAAGATCCTGGCCGACAAGGAGGTGAAGAAGGCGCATCACTCCCAGCTGCGCAAAGCCTGCGAGGTGGCACTAGGTGAGGCGCAGCCCGGGCGGGCAGGGAAGGGAAGGGGCGGCCAGAGGTCGGGGTGCGCTTCGGGGCCCGCTTTGCCTGTGTGTGTTTGTGTTGCGGGGGTGCTGTGCGGTTTCTGAGGGAACGAGGCAGAGGGGCTGCCCGGCAGGGAAGGGCCGGGGGCGGTGCGGTTGCGGGCTGAGCCCTGGCACGGGTTTGGGTCGTGCAGCACAGGTCCCCGGAGGTGTGGGCGCCTGGGCTGCGGGCGAGCATCGCCCCTCGCCGGGAGCGGCCCCGTGCTGACAGCAGCGGCGAGGGCGCTGCGGCGCCCGCCGGGCTCTTCTCCTCCTCCTCCTTCCCTCCTCCTCCTCCTCCTCCTCCCCGCTCGCAGGATGAATAGGCAGACACGGAGCTGAGCTGAGCTGACCTGGAAGCAGACGGCCGGCGGGGAGGGAGCAGGTGACAGGCAGCGGTGAGGGCGGAGGGACGGGTGAGGAAGAGGGGGTGGTGGAGAGCGAGAGACAATGACATCGGGCCATGTCTGGAGCTGGTGGCTCTTAGGAGCCGGGAGGGCTGCAGAGGGAGAGGATGGTCCGGGAGATGTGCGAGGGAGAGCCTTAGGCGAGTCGTTCCTGGTGGAGAAACAGCTGATGGGGAAGAGAGCTTCCTTCATGCATGGCAGAGCTGGAGCGGCCACGGATAACAGAACCACAGAGTTGTTAGGGTTGGAAGGGACCTCTGGAGATCATCTAGTCCAACCCCCATGTTGTTGGATTCCCAGTATGTGGGAGCGTTTACTTCGGGCCGAAGGAGGGGTGTTGGGTTTGTAGTGCAGCTGTGTCAGCGCCGCCTCGTCTGGAGGCGTCAGGGAAGTACCGGTGCTGGATAGTACAAAGCACATGTAGGCATCCAATTACAGGCAGCTTAAAAGGACAACTTGGGCTTCACGATTCTGACATGATGAGCACAGGCGGGCCTTGAGCCTATGTGGCAAAATACTGACATACTTACTGAAAGACTTGTAGAGAAAAACCTGTTTCATTTAAGTAATACGTTAAATGGATTATGTCCCTCCCTTTCTAGTGTAATTGTTTCTGTTTTGGAGATAATTATCTTGATTTTGTACAGTAATGTCTGATTAAATGGATTTGTTTGACGAGATAATGTTAAATTGAAACTTGCTTGTTTTAAAAAAGAGTGTAAGTAATTTGATGTTGTTCCCTTGTCATTCTATTAATTTGTATGTTAGTGCTTACTTTTTTTTATAAAAAAGACTCCTTCCTTTTCTTGATTTCTTTGTCTATGAAAGATCCTGACAAAGGGAGGGGCAGAAATAACCATACTTCAGCTAATTATTTCTTCTTAATTAAAATCAATGTGAAACAAGATTTTATTACATTTTTCATATATCACTAGAGTGGTTAACAATCATCTTATGATTTATACAGATGAAATTAAATTGATAACCCTTTGGCCCTTCTGTTGACTTCAGACTGTGCATTCAAGTTACAAATAAAACAGAGAAATGTTTTTTTATTGTTAAACTGAATTTCTATCGAGTCTGTATGTCATCCATAGAATTAGACACTGATATTCATCTTGTGTTTCTGCCATACTTTATTTCAGTAGCCTGATTTATGTTAAGTATCATCCAGATCCCTCCAAGTATGGTCCATTGTGTTCCACAGATTATATAAAGCAAGCCCTCACTACTGTACAGTCTGCCTCTTGTATCATGTAAATTGATTTGTTTGAGGAGACCCTCAGCACACATCCCAGTGGTTTCTATCCTACAGCTTCATTGAATCCTTCTCCTGTGGACCTGATTGGGGCTTAAACAGGAAAACAATGTGATGTGGGTATAAAAATCATTAAGGCAGGAAAGAAGAAATGGAAGGATGTGTGTACTACCTTACATATATACAGGGGCTTCATGAGCTTGAAAAATATCAGGCATGGTATTTTTCTGTAGAAAAGCCTCTAACTACTGTAGAGACTTCTTGATTTTTTTTTGGTTGCAGCACAACAAAATACAGTTGGTGATTGTAAATTTAGCATGGTCCATTGTCTGGTTTTGTGCACGATCAGAAGTGGCAATATGTAACTCCTGAGTAGAGTAGTGCTCATGTCCATCTGTAAAAAAATTTTTGGAGAAAGGTACATATCATCCATGTTTCACACAGAGTACAGTTAGCCATTAAAGCTGAGCTATGATTTTTGTAGCAGTGTTTGAAATAGGATGCATGTGTTGTGTTCTGTCCCTTTAGCTCCTCATCTGCTCAGACTACAGCTGGATGCTTCTTTGCCACCTTAAGCAAGGAGTACAGACTTCTTACTGCTTGATTTTGAAGAGCAGCAACATTAATGATAAAACATTAGTAAAATTGTAATTTAGAGTTGAATTTAATTTGGTGCTAAGTCTGGCCAAGTCGAACTTTACGGTTTTACTGGATTTTTTTAAATGGTAGTTAAATAAAGAGTAGCTTTTAAAAATCATGGCAGTACTTCCATGTCTTCCAAATCAACATATTTTTTTTTCAGTGTGAATATTTGATTAGTTGTCACTGAAGTTATCTGTGTGCTCCATTAAGACTTTTTTTCCAGCTGCATGACTGTAGTAAGATGTTACTTTTTATTTACTGCTAATAATAGGTCAGATATTCTAACTAGTAGTTGTTACTAATTCAGGCTTTTTATTCCATTCTCTAAAGCCACTATTTACATTGTTTTATATTATTTGTGTAAAATTATCTGCTATTGAAGTATTTGATAAAAAAATGATCAGTATCCCTGTACAACAATCCCTGACAAACTAATAGTAGCTCTGCTTTTTAGATTGAATTTAACAAGCAGTATTTTAAGAATCTTTAATGCCTTCCCTTTGTCATTTTTAATCCCCATATACTTTCTTATAAATCTGTTGCATTCCATTAAGATTATACATAATCTATTTTTAATTTGTGAGTCTTAGGGAGTGAAACCTTGCAACATTCCAGACTGTGGCAGTTTGACCTCTGAACAGGTGTTAAGATGAGGTCCTTCTAGTATGTCCATTTTTCCAGTGATTTGAAGATAAGAAAACAAAATATTAATTAAGTAACACAACCTGAATTATAGATGTCCCTTAGTTTTTTAACAGGGATGAAATTAAGCCTTGATACTTGTAGCATCCTGTATTTGATGATTCACCAGGTTGTGTCTGGGTTTATACAGAACAGTTGAGTTTAATTTAACTTTGTCCTTACTGAGAGGTTTCTCTCTCTTTGTGGAAAACACAAGATTTCTTTAGTCACCTAATGAAGTAGAGTTAATTTAGAGCTTTGTATTGTTTACTTTCATAGCAACAACTCTTATCTCTATAAGGAATGAGTTTATCCTTGAAATTGTCCACTTGTAGAAGGCATGAGCCAGCAAGCTGTCAGAAGGATTATTGGATTTAGAAGCTCCTTTTCCACTGAGTTACCTCCACTGCTGTTTCTGTATTGCTTTTCGACTATATGCCACAGTCTAGGAAACCTTACTGTAAAAATACTGTGTTTGCATAAACAGTGAAAGGTCTTGGAGGAAAAAAATCCTCATCTGAACATAAAATTTTTAATAGACTGAAAAAAAATTGTCAGTGCTTCATGTCAAAATCTGGAGCGTGGATTTGTCTGCCTGAAAAGTGGTTTCAGAGCACTAAGCTGGGCACACCAGAATGCCCTCCTTGTATAAGTTCTGCTAGTTCAACTGCAAATCAGGAGTCAAGCAACTCTTCCATAAAACTCCAAGCCACAAGTGATATAAAATGATACAGATATGTCCCTAGTATGTACTTTAAAGAAAATTATGCATATGCTGCCTGGAGTTCTGGAGCTACCAACTGAAGAGGGCCAAAATTTAGTTCTAGAAGGTTCTGTAGTGCTCCTTGTATTGTTTATTTCACTCTGTCATGCAAGGATCCTGCTGAATGATGTAGATCTCATGCAATGTGAAAGTGGCATCTCTGTTCAGTTTGTGCTGCCTTTATGTGTGTGTGTAGGATGATGGAGCAGTGGGCTATAGATAAACAGTTTCTCTGGAAACAGATAACGCTTGGAGCAGAACTAACCTAGAGGTGTGAAGGTTCATCTGTCCTTATCTGTGCAGGTCTGCAAATGACATCTCATCTACTTAAGTTTTTCTGTCTCCCTTTTTACCTTTCCTAGTTTCATCTTGTGTCCTTTGCATATACAAGCAATCATGATACACGAGAATGAGTGTGGTTAATGGATATTGTATATGTGTAGGGAACTCTGGGTGCATTGGAAAGTACCTTCCTACACTATAATAAACAGTTAAAAGTGCATTCCTGTCTGTATTTTGGATAGTGCTGTTCTTGGTAGGCTACCTTCTTTTTTTCATGAAAACTAGTTGTCCTTTTGTAGAAACTGAAGGTCAGAATTTTTGGAGTTTTTTCTTTGCTGGATACAAAGAGATTAGTGTTGCAATATTCTGTGTTGTCTTCATGTGCTATAGGCATTTATTTTCACAATTTACAAGTCACTATTGTCCACAAAAAAAATTTTTCTGGTTGTAACTGTCCTTCTGAAACACTTGTTTGTAAGCAAGGAGGATAAATGGAGATTTCATGTTAGTAAAGACCAAGATGGATGTGGGTTTTTTTAAAAACCAAAACCCCTGAAAATTGCAGCTGCCCTTCCATCCTTTTGCTTGCTTTATTGAGCTTGGACTTTAACTAGCACTTTCAGTGTGGTTAAAATCTCGTCTACTTTTGCAAAGATTTAAAACTTGGCTTGGTAACAGTAAGGATTAATTGGCCCTATAAACTGTTTTCCAGGTTGCCTTCAGCATTTGATATGTAAAGTGCTGTTTATGTAGAGTTTATGGGGCTAATTTAAGGAAAGTTGTGTGTGTTTAGCTACTCTGTTGTTTCAGATGTTATCAGATCTTGGCTGTGCAGAGTGACTTAATTATATAATTCACCACTCTGAATTAATCACACTGTGCTGATGAGATTTAATCTCTTTTGAGAAAGGGGTGGT